CGCGCGGTCCGCCTTTCACGTGCGCACGAGGTCATGACCTGAAGAGGCCGGGCCCAGCAGCCGGGCGGTTCCGCGTGCGCCTGAGGTCGCTATCGGCCACGAGTGGGACACGTCCGGGCGGCCCGGCCAGCACCTCCCTGTACGTGCATTCGCTCCGGCAGTGTGGACGGCCGGTGGCGGATCTACTCTGCGCGGTGCCGACGGCGGCGTGGCAGACGCCGCCGCCCTCGTCGGCTGGCGCCCGGGGGCTCAGCGCCGGCACGCGCGTGGGTGCAGTCCGGGGGCCGGCCGGGCGCCATCCGGGGGTCGGCCGGGCGCCGCTCGGGCGCCGGTTCCGGGCGCGCGCCGCGCCGCGCCCGGCCGAAGGCCACCCGTCAAGGATCGGCGGCTGGAGGACGGCACGGCAGCCGTGCAGCAGCGGCGGCGCCGCCGGGGCCGGCCCTGAGCGGCGCCGTCGCTGCACGGCCGCCGGCTGCTGCCAGGCCGCCAGCGCGCCCCGGCCCTGCCCGGCGCCCGTGTCGGCCCACCCGGCGACCTCGCGCGCCGCTTTTCGCAGCAAACGGGTCCTTATCCGGCCCGATATCGCGACCGAGTGTCCTTTGTCAAACCGCCGCGCTGTGCGAGTCCTTCAAACCGGGACACACAAATATGGCCTGCCTGCCGGTCGGGTGCGGAAATCCGGCGGCGCGACGGCGCCGTCGCTGCCGGCTCCGGCGCTCGGCGGTGCCACCGGCCGGGGAGCGGTGCGCCGACCGCAGACCGCTGCCGCTCGAGAGCGGTCCCGTCGGGGCGGACCGGACCCCGCGCCGCCGCCGAGGAAGTGTGTCACACACCCCGTCAACGGGCCTTATCGGGGGGAAACTCGGCACAGAGCGCTTTCTCGCTCTGCAGGCGCGGCGCCCCCGCGCCGCCGCGTGGGCGGAAAACGGCCGTGCCGTCGCCGCCCCGGCTCGACCCGAACCGACCTCTGCCGAGGCCTTCAGGCCGGCCGGCGCGGCGCCGCTCGCTTTTTGTGCCGTGCAGCGGCGGCGCCGCCGGTGGCAGGACACGGGCGACGCGCGGACAACAATCGCCATTGAGGGGCGCCGGCGGCTGGCCCCGTTTCGTGCCGGCCCGCTCTCACAATAGTGGCTGACTGACGTCTGCGCTGGGGCGCTCGCGCCCCGGCACATTGCACGGCAGTCGGTGTAGCGGCCGGGCGGAAACACGCGGCGGCGGCGGCGGCAGCGGCCTCCGCGCGCCGCGCCGATCCGCCCCGGGTATCGCCAATGCCATCGACGTCAAACAAGCCTTGGAGCCGTGCGGCCATTGGACGCGGCCGCCGGTCCCGCCGCCGAAGGTTAGCCGTGCACGGCTGTCCTGGCCGCGCCGGCCGGTAACCGGGCCGGGAGCCGTGGCGCGACGGCAGGGCGCGCACCACCCCGCCGCCCGCCCCCCAGCCGTCCACGGGCCGCGCGGCCAGACGCACACACGTGCGTCGGCGGATGCGCCATCTACGGCTCTCCGCGACGCGATGGCCGGATACCGCCGTCTGGCGCGTCCGCGGCGCGCAGGCCGCACACGGCCGCGGGCGGCACGGGCGGGTCAGTCAGTGACGCGGAGAAACACCGCGTCCTAATGCAATGCTTACACTCACGCAGAGCAACTACGCCCAGCTGCCGCGGCCTCCGGGCTGATGGGTGGCGCCGAGGAGTGCTTTGTGACTCACGCTCTGTAGCAACGCCCCAGCGATGGCCAAATATTGACACGGGTGCCGCATGCCTAAGGCGCTCACCGTGCAGCCGTCGGCTACTGCCTGCAGTTGCACTAAGTCCAACTGCCTACCCCTCCCTTCAACTGCCTCCCCTCTCACTGACTGCCGCCCCCTCCCTCCAATAGAGCATCTGACGCTCGGCTGAGTCTATCAGTCTGAGTCCAAGTCGTCTGGGTCACAGTCGTCACGTCAGAGTGACGCATCAGCGTCAGCCGGGCCGTTGGCAGCCTCCTTCCGGCCCGGGTCACAGGGCGGCGGCGCGCGCCGCTGCCGCCGCCCGCTCTCTGGCGCGCGGCCGCCTTTCGAAAGGTAGAAGTGTTGCGCGGTCCGTCCGAAAGCTCTGACACCGTGCGGGCCGCGTGAACGGCGCGAGGGCACGCCGTCGCCGCCGAAGAGAGTGGCGGTGTTGCGCGACTGCTCCGGTCCGGCGGCGGCGGCGGCGGCGGCGGCGGCGGCGGCGGTCGGGGCTCGCGCTGGCCACTCACCCCGGCCGAGCGGGACGCCGCAGCTGCGCCGGACCCTGCCGCCGGGCCGGGTTGGTGACCGCAGCCCCACGCAGCCGGACGCGCCGCGTCAACAGGGTCGGCCCGCGCGCCACGCGCCGCCGGCCGGCCACAGACCGCACACGCGGAGAGCAGGGGCTGTGGCGATGGGCGGCACCGGTCCGGCCACCGCCCTGGGACTGCCTGGGGGACCCAGCACACCCATCGGACCCAACGGACGTGTCTCAGCGGCCTGGTGGGTCTGGGGCGACCCAAACCGAATGCAGTGATTTCGAACGGTAACCGGCATCAATCTGCTCTCCACCTGTGCATGTATATATACATATATATATATATATATATATATATATATATATATATAATATTGAAGCAATATCGCTCAGACAATTACGCTAAGCGTTTGCATTAGTCCAGAAAAAATAAATAATAGAGCACATGGCCACCAAACAGGTTCAAATACGGGTCAACAGAGCAGTCGAGTAAGCCTTCGCAAAAAAGCTCCACATATGTTCACGTGTGACAAATTCGGCTCGATAAGTGTCTTAATTCCAGCCTTGACACACAGAAAATGTGGTAAGCCTTGCCAACAAGAAGATTCCATCTTGCACGTCACACACGCCGCAAAGAAGTAGAGCACCGGTGTCGGACCTGGCGGGTTCTTTGTCCGATCCATCAGCACGCCGTCCGTCCTGGCGCGGCGGCGATCAGCTGATGAACTCAGCTGGCGTCGGCGGCCGCCGCGGCGCCATCAGCTGCCGTCCCGGCCGGTAGGTGCATTGTCCGAGGAGCGGCGTCCGCGCCAGCCGGCCGGCACGCTCTGACGCGGCGCCCCACCGGACGGGGCGGGGGTCAGCGGTCCCGCGCAGCCTTGGAGGCCGGCCCGGGCGTCGCTGTTCGCCCCGCGGAGCGCGCGGTTCCCGCGGCCACGGCACGGGCGGTGACTCGAGGGCCGGCGCCGGGCCGACTGAAGAGCCGCCCATCCGACCTCCAGCCGGGTCATCACCTCAGCTCGCACAGCCGACAGCGGCCGACCAAGGTCATCGCACCGCAGCGTTCTCGAGAACAGCAAGACGCCGATGGTGCGTGATTAATTGAATTGGCGCCAAGCCGTTACGACGGCTATTTATTACTACCGGTATTTGCATGTGCATCGTTAGGAAGGGGACTCACAAAAACAGTTCACCATTGAAACAGCTGTCCTTACTCTCGACGATAATGATCAAGCCGACGCAAACTAACCGAACAGGAAACACTTAATTAGTCGCGTATATCTAAGCGCTGTTGCCCACGGTTCAACCGTGCCCGAAGCTGACACCCCATTGCCCGTCCCACACTGCTTTCTCCATTGCACCGCGTCAGGTACCCCCTTTGTCTCTCCCAGTGTCAGTGCCGGTGTCCGTCCCAGCGCCAGTCCCGGCACGGATCGGCCCGGCCCAGCCACGTCCGTCACCAGGCTACGCCCGGCCGTTCCTGACGCGCCCGGTCTGTCGGGCCCGGCCAGCACCGGTCCGCACACGTCCTGGCCGCCTCCGCACGTGCCGTGCCGTGCCGTGCCTTGTCGGTCGGCACAGGCGAAGAGAGACAAAGGATGGTGAAACCATCCAGCGGGCCCTACTTTTCCCTCCAGTTTCACCCGGGTAAGAGCGGCGCGGGGCGCGGGCGCGCTCTCTCCCTCTCCCCGGGAAGAGCGGTCGGGCGCGTCCCGCCGTGCCGCGGCCGGCCCGGGTCGCGTCTCGCCGTGCTGCGGCCGGTCCGGGCTGCGTCCCGCGCCGGCCGCCGACGCCACGCTCGCGGTGCCCTGCGTCCGGCCGGCGCCGCAGGGCACAGCTCGACCAATGCGTCACAGCGCGCCGACGACGGACCTCGTCCGGCATTGGGGGGGGGGGGGGGGGGGGGCGGGGGATATTGACCGGATTTTTCCCACGCACTGTCGAAGGCTTCACGTGAGGTTTCCCCCGCGTCTGGTTCGGACCGCTCCAATCCCCCTGGCCACGCCACCCCGCGGACCAGTTGTCCTCCCGGGGAACGCTCGGCGCCGCAGAGCTGCGCCGGCCGCGCGGCCGGCTCGGAGCACCGCATTGTCCGGGACGACACCAGGCCGTGTCAAGCCGTCGCGCCGCGTCGCCGCTCCGTATCGAGCGAGCAGGCAACGGCGAGGTGCGCGCGGCGCAAAACAACACCTCAAGGCCCCGGCAGCTGTCGCGGCGCGGCCGACGGCACAGCTGCGACCGCCGCCGCCGCCGCCGGCGCACAATAGGTCGCCGGCGCGCTCGGCGACGGCCAAATAGGTCGCGCGCTGGTGGGGCGGCCCGGCGGCGCGTGCGTTCGGCAACGCTGCCGCACGTCGACGGCTGACCTATTTCCGTTTGGACCGGGCGCACTGGAGGGGCCCCACGCACAGTCCCAGCTGGGACGATCAATGCCGGCCGGGACGGACGGTGGGTGGGGGAGCGGCGGCGCCGGCCCCGCCCTCTCGCCGCCGGCAGCGGCCGTATCGACGAGGCTGGCCGGGAGGAGCGCACCGCCCGCACGCGTGTAATCAATAGAGCCGGAGCCGGAGCGACCAGCTCGACGGCCGCTGGGAGCGGCGCCGCCGGAGCTGGGCCGAGCACGCGGCGGCAACAGGAGGCGGCCGCGGCTGGTGCCGCTCCCGCTCCCTCCCCGCACGCACGCGGGGCCCGGCAGCCACGCTCAGACACGCCAGCTGTGCAGACCGGGCGCCGAACGGCGGCGACTCAACTCACCTGCGTGAAGCACCAGTTCTCGGCGGTCGGCTGAGAGTTCTCGTTGGACGTGGGCGGCGGGCTGGAGACGCGCGAGACGGCCATGGCCGACGAGCCGCGAGGCTGGGCGCACGCCTCGCTCACCATCGCTCGCCTGCGGACAGGGGCGGTGTCAGTGGGAGCCGGCCGTGTCTCTTGACTCTCCGGGCCCGGTCGCGCCGACCAGTGAAGCGGCACGGTCGCCGCACCCCGCCTGGGAACGGTTGGCGGCACTGAAGCAGGGCGGAGTACTGCAGGCTCCGATCGATTTAAAGACAGCGTGTGGCAGCGCCACACGCAGCCAAATAATGCAATGCAACTCCTCTTCGAGCCACCTGCACAGCCAGCGGCGTTCTGTCGTCCCTCGTGTGCGATCGCTGGGCGCGCGTTAGATTGCTATGCAGATACCCGATGATCGCTGTACATGTGTTCACGAGAGAGCGCATCAAACTTCACGCTGCGTACCCCAATGTCGTAATCAAATGCTTGGGAGGTGAGTCAAGCAACACTCGGCCGCTTTGCCAGAAACATGGGATGTCGAGGAATTACGTCAGCATCACAGCGCCGTCGGGCTAATCACAAAAATCCACAGCCGCCTTAGTGGTTACACATCTAAATAATCCGGCTACAAATACACGTCATCTACACCCTTTAAAGCACACCAGCCATCAGGTCCGAGCACAAATCCGCCTAAAAGGCATCGAGCATCAAAACCGCTGCCCAGCTGCCATGCTCCGCACAATACAAGTCTGAGCTCCGACACTCTGTCGGAACAGCGACTCTCGCTGTTCCAGCCGGTCTGCGATAAAGCGGGCGCAATATCACCCACATTTTCTGAGCGATACCCGCAGATTTCAAGTCGCCCTCCGGTCCAGGCTACACAGCTAGGTAAAACGCGGTTTTCCCAAATTTCATTAGACTGTTTTTCACCAGTGCTAGGTCTCGGCACAACGTCGGGACGCTGTCTGCTATGACGACAACTTCGCTGGCATCCTACGTCAGTCGGCCGTGAAAACAGACCCCATCCATCTCTCCCATGATGACATTCTCGCAATCGTTCTCCATATATTCCAACACAAGCTGAGCTGTGTCCCATGGCGTTCTTTGGAAACTACTTAAAGTTCTGATGACGTCCGCTGGCTGGCGCGCCATACCCGACGCCTTCGGTTCTGCTCTCCGTTCGCGTCTGGATACAGCCGGCACTTCCCAGCTCCCTGACGTCAGCAAACCATTACTTAGTCAATCTGGTAGGTCAGACAGTCTGGCAAGCAGACTCGCCTGGCCTTCCCACCTGCTCCCAATAACATTAAGCCGACTTCTTTCGTTGTCCTGATTGAAGCCTTTCAGTGACATTTGGCTTTTGCGTAATTTCGGGCTTCCGTCTGAACCGACACCTTCCTTCGCAGAATAGGGGTACACAATGGCGGCCAAAGGCAACTACAATCCTGTAGCAATTTTTGGAAAAGCTGCTTGCCAACATGCTAGTTTGGATCTCCTTTTTTCCTGGTCATCACAGCATGCCTCTATGGATGGCTGGATGGACTGTGATTTGTATCAGTCAAAACCCTCTGAGCTCTATATAAAATCGCTACAGCTCTATCACAAAAATACAGACTGTCTTTCACCCATTAGTATCAGTATTTCCCCACAGTCACAGATGAATGCTAACAGCCAGAGTAAAGATGTTCCCATAACTGAATTATACCTCACACATACCTACTATTTCTTAATTTGACATGTGAGACACTTTTTATGGCCCCCATCAAACTTCACATTTCAGCTGATTTAGCATTTACTGAAAAAACTTGATTGCTATCCTGTTTCAATGTGCCTAAGTAGAGCAAACAATGATCAGATGTGACATTATCAGCACCAATGATGGCCCCACCATACATCACCAAAAACGGAGTGCAGACAAGCAACTGTCCTAACATGCTGGCCATGTGTGTGACCAGGAAAATCCCAGAGTCCCTGGCAGCATGCCATTCAATGCACAGAGCAGACAACATGCCAGGAAACTGAGTTGGAGCATACCATGGTCATTGTCAATTTTCTTTCCATGTACGCATTCAGTGAGTGCAGGTCCAGCTGCTGAGCAAGTGCTACTATTTAATAAGTCTTGCTGCTTCCATGAAGAGAAGCATTAATTATTTCACACAGATCAGCACATATTGGCCATACAGTTGTGCATTGCAGCTTGCAAGGCACAATAACTTGCTGTTTGGATAGCATCAAATGGTAAATGCTATTCTCAAAACTTAAAAAGCCTTACATAAGGTCTACTCAAGCAGTTTTCTATTAATTATCCAAAAAGCAATCAATTCACGTTTTAAAAAGCACCTTTGGTACAAAACACATCATGAACTAAAATATTAACAGCTTAACACCATAATAGCTCAGTGTACTTCATCAGCAAATATAACTTCCCAACACGCCAGGCCATACAGTACTTATTGAATGAGGCCAGCACACAACAACTCAACATAGCCAACTTGACAATGATGTTGTTCATGCATTAATGTCTTCGTAAACCACACTTATTAACTGGAATAGGCAATGCACAAATCCAGGTGTGCACATATGCTGTGCAGCATTTCCACCAGTGTTGCAGGCTATTTCCAGTAAGCATGGATGTGTGAAACTTTTGTAATGCTGCATGATACCTGCCTCTAGGATTGCTACAGCACAAAGATAAAATAGTAACTATCATTTTGGATGAAAACATATTTGTCTGCAATAGAGGTCAAAACAAAAGATCAGCAAATTGCAACATCATCCACAGGCCAGCTTTTACAGACCAAAATTAAATGAATTGTAAGAATAAAAATGTAAGCATTCAAAACCTTCATGATATATGAAAGCATAGCATTCAACATTTGCACTATGGTGAAAACCTCACACATTGTTGGACACAGCCCAGTCTGCACACAGTTTGAGAGAACATGCAGAGTCACATGCTTTCAAAGGCATTGATACCAGGAGTGTCCTGTGATCTACTTTTGGAGGCATGGGTGTACACAATGCACAGTGGATGAATTAACCAAATGTTATGATTTGAACAGTTGCGACACACCAGACACCACCCATCAAAGTTTAAGTGTGCTAGAGCATTGAAAACTTTCATATATATCACGAGAATTGACTTGACCATTGCTATGCACCTTATCAATACCTGTCTAATACGAGTTCATTCCAAAACAAACATGGCACACGTTCCCAACGCATTAGTGGCAATTGCCGCGCTGCGAATCTGAAGATATTTATAGTTGCTCTGCAGCTAGAGTCCGAGAATTGCGATAAGCCTAGAGTGGCTGGTAGCATGACAGAATGCGACCATATTGACGACAGCACTTCACTCACCCAGAAAAGAAACTGGTAGGAATGGAATCCAGCGTTCCAGTTTCACGGCACACAGCACAAAATATCTACCAAGACTGCCGTCCGCCGCCCACTGGGATCCCGAATTGCAATGCACTGCAGTCGGGCGGAGTGCTGGGTGGGCGTAACTCAGAAACGTCCTAAATCGCAGCGCGAGTGCAGCGAACGAGGACGGCCGTAGCGCACGCGCCGTGTGCCACGAGAACTGAGCCACCCCAGCTCTCCTGCAGCGGTCCACTCCCGACGGCGTCCAGCGGATCTCTGGCATAGCGCAGATATTTTGAGCGTGGAGGTCACAGATCTGGTTATTCACTGGCGCCGCGGAGGAAAGTTGCTCAGCGGACGGCGCGGCTCGGGGGAGGTGAATGGCGAGAAACGAGGAAGTGTTTTGTTGAAAGTAGTGGACGACTGTGGACGGAGGATGAGGCTGTAGAGTGTAAATACTACTTTCAACCCGCCAGGACGCATGTGGAACAATCGGAAGGCAGACGGGCCAGCCGTTTCAGGTATACCCGCGACCTCACGGAACAAAGTCGTAAAATGCGTAAACCGCTAACCACGAACGGGCGCTCACCATGGTAAACGAGTGTCAGTTTTACGACAATTAAGGAGCGTCCGTCAATGAATGAAGACTGAGTAGGCAGTGACTTTGTGCAACTTTTGCTACCAATGATTTGGTATAAAATTGTGTGACGTGTTCACTTCCGGGTAATAATCGTTTATCGTCACATTTAGGGGAACGCTCGACATTTGATGATATTGGGGCAAACATCAGATGTGGTAAATGAGCGCACTTTTAGGAATTGGTATGCTTTTAAATGCAAAAACTGCTCTAGAAAACCTAATATTTGTATTTCGTAACTACCCTCCTCAGCATGTCATGATTTGATACGTCAGTGGGCCTTGCAAAAAATGAATGAGAGCCAGCTGACGGCCGGTATGTTTGGAAATCATGCTCACAAATTCCACATAGGCTGCACGATTAAATCTGCAATTCTTCGCGAGCGTGTAGCTCACAAACTAGAGGTGTACATGTCTTAAGAAGCGCGGGGCTGCATACTGCACCGAATGATCTTCAAGATGGCTATTTCATTTCAAAACCCCGTCCAAATGTGGAGCACTCCCTTTAAAAGGAGTGCTTCACATTTGTTCAGAGCACAAGGACTTGCCACACTCAGATATTTTGAGTGCATGCGCAGGCGCCCGGGCAGGGCAGTAACCGGTTGGTTAATTTATAATAAATGGGATGAATGTGTCATTCCATGAACTGGAGGAGCACTTCAGTTAATGTGTTTAATGAGTGCTTCACCAAGGTGAAGCGCTCAAGACTAGCTTTTTACTTACGCCACAATAATTATCACGGCAATAACAGGAATAGTGCATGCGACAACTAAATTGACATGTCAACTACACGACAAGGTAGTCATGATACCTAGTAGTCTAACGCACATGTCAGTCACCTGACAATGCCATGAGATCCCTGTTTTTTTGTATTATTTCATAATGCCGCAACACTCCTTGCTTCAAAATATTCATCAACCGCCCGGTAATGTAGCTGCAGTGGATCTATCGTCCTTCAGCAGGTAATCTTCACAAGCCTTTCATGACGTCTGACTAGCTGTGTCCTCTGGACAGCACCACTTCGGATTTTTTTCCGTGTCCTATTCCTCTGCAGGCGTGCGTTGTGCAGCTTCGCCTAGTGATGAAGATGCCACCTGTCGGCAGGTGAACACCAGTATCCTGATGAGCTCGGTGCGGTGGTTTTTCAAACGGTTCTAAATTTCATGGGGTTGTCCGCCGGCATGTGACACGCCATCGATACCGATACAGTACACCGCCCCACTCCAGCATTCGTCTGGGCGCTGCATTTTAAGCCGCGTCCAGCTGCACAATGTAGCGGCGGAGCTCCTACTACACACTCTTGAATGTTCCTGCAGAGAGATTCATCAGCCCTCCGCGGTTTTCCAGCCACGGACGGTGGCTTAAGGATGTGGGGTCGTTGGACTCCTGACGGCTCGCTAGTGTTTCTTGGCAGGTGACGCAGCCTACTCTGTGCCCCTCCGAGTGCCCTTAGGGCGACGAACACGGCGATAAAGCAAGCGGTATCAGTGACCATGAAGGCCAGACTTGGTGGTGGTCATGATCGTCCAGTCTATGGAGCACCTCGGTGCTGTCGGTGTCGCGCGTGCCATCGGCGCCCCGCTGGCTGAATGTGGCACGCAGCCAGGATGGATGGGGGGTGCAGTCCCGTGATGCTCCTGCTGCGTCCCTTGCAAGCGCCGGAATGTAGCGACGAACTCGCTTACGTTCGGATTGTTTTCCGCCCACCTGAGAAATCATGAATAGATGGTAACGAGTGCAGAAGAACTGTAGAAGTCGAGGCCAGAGTTTGGAGTCATGTGCACTTGTCCTCAAACGGTCGGAGTAGTTGGTACGGATGTCCTGTCCAGGACACAGGTGAAGCAGGTGAAAACAGCTTGATGTCCAGCAGGTGAAAACGGCTTACAAAACAAGGAGCACAGCATTACTTTAACCCAGTTCATGGCCTTTTAGTGGGTAACTTATCAATGTCACTGCTGACAGTAAACAGTGGAACAATAGAACCCATTACTACATACGTGCAAAGAGCGGCCATGGATCACCATCTTAAGTGATTATGCACCAGCAAGTCAAAGCGGTGTTTGTGACTCATTTTGACACTGTTTTGCCAATGTATGTTCTTGATATTTATGGTTGTGGCTGAAATCAGGTTAAAATATTACATGGAACATCAAAACGATGGTTTCACTGGCTGTTACTTGAAGGGAATGTTCAACATTTGAAGGTACTGAAGCAGACATCATATATATGATGCAATGAGCTCGCTTATAAGTATTTGAACACTTGGAATGCAAAAATAGAGGTCGATAAACTTGCTTATTTGGTAACACCAGTTGAGGTCATTCTGGGACGCTACAAAAAGTTCAGCGAGGCACAGGAGCGTGTTGAAAAAAAGCTCTTTCTCTTCCCCGCGTCCATGGTCAAGCCCTCAACCCGCTGGCTAACGTGGTGACAGAACGCGCTCCGTCGGCCCGATCGCCCAGCGCGTTCCCATGCCCGTGCCTGTGCCTTTCCCGCATGCCTTCCCCTCTTCCCTGCGGAAGCAGCCGAACGGTCCGGTCCCCGCGCACATTCCACCGTCCCTGCCTCGCTCCCACTTCTTTCCCCCTTCCGTCGGTAAGGTGAAGGTTGAATAGGGGACCAGGCCGGAGACGCTCGGACGGAGCAGTAGCAGGGGTTGCGACGGGCTTAAATGCGGAATGCTCGAATTTCAATAGTGTTTGAACGGATTTCCACCCACGTGAATTCTGCGCCCGGTTTCACCTTTTCGGAGACAGTAATGTCACGTTATCAAGTCCCATGATGCCAGTTTAAAGCAAATGACCCTTTAAAAAAGAAAGGTCTATCAAAGCTTAAAACAAGATGTCATTGTATGTAAAGACAAAAACAGATCTGTTGTTGTCACGATGCTGCACGAGCCTAAATGAAAAGCCTAAAATATGGCAATTGAAGTCATCATGGCGCCTCCTGCGACCCTTAGCTCTAGTTCATAGTGTGCTCATCCTTAAACCACGTGTGCGTGCGCACGTGGAGTGTGCGGGCCATTGCGTGGCGGGCTTTGCCGGGAAGTCTGGGGTTTGGAGCTATTCCATTTCTTTTCTCATTTTATGAGTTATCATCCCCAATCATGAGAGCGAATGCAAATGCGTCAAGTGTTTGAGTGTGATAGGTTTGCCTTAAAAAACCTGACATCATATTTCAGTACGATGAACTATCAGTCGTTCATATATATTTCTTCCGAGCATGGAAAATTTTATTTCCGAAACGTCAAGATAGAATATATGGCGACCAATCTTTTGGTGTCTTAATCTTTTACGTGTCGAACGAAGTTAAGCAAAACTTAAGGTCGATCGAGCATAGCCAGAAAAGCACAATTCAGCTGAATTTACCCTGTTCTTTAACAATATACACGGGCGATCCATGATTTTCCGAAAGATGGGGCAATCATCTATGAAAGAAGCACCTGGTTGGTCCAGGAGCACTAAAGTCAGAAAGATGCAATTGATTGGCACTGAATAAACCACCCATACATGCACGAATATCCACAACCCCACGTTCCCGTCTCCATGCTTATCCCATCACTATTTCATTTCAGCCTGCCTGCCATTGTTTCCGGCGTAATTGTGCTCTGTGCATTACGAGGAATGCGAGATAAGCCACCAGCAGTTTCATTATATGAGCCATACACTATGCAAGTTACACTGGTGGAGGATCACCAGCGTGGCGTTCCGCGACACTCTAAAATCATAGACGCGGAACGAAAATAGCTTTATAGTGTTGAACTTAACTTTCGAAATCGCGTTTCTGTTTGTGCTGCTTTGGTCTAGAATTGCCTTCCCTTTTCAGGATCACTTCAATTCTTAAAGGCATTTTACACCTTCTGGCACTGAAACAGCTGTCGTCGTTTATGCGACCCAATTTTGTTTAGATTCGTATTTATTCCTGCACATGAGTTGAAATGCATACTTCTAGCAACTGCAGTGATATATATATATATATATATATATATATATATATATATATAACTAAAAACCATAGACTGAGCTGTGTTAACTAAAGGCAACACCAATCTTCCATACAGCCTTCACTTCAAATCCTGGACCACGTAAATTCCAGAATGGGTTGTTATTTCAGGGTATGCAAAATGGCAAAAAAATAATGAAGATATCTTTTGCAACGAAAAGATGGTATGTCGCGCGCGCACACACACACAGGCACACACACGCGCGCGCGCGCGCATGCCAGCGCGCACGCCAGCGCGCCCTAGTCACGCAGTGGCTACGCTAGACGAGAACACTGGAACTTTGGTCAAACCTTTGAAATATGCTCTAAATGATTTCAATGCGGCTTTCAGCCACGCCTGAGGGCAGCTTTGGGCTGTGTGGACTCCGCTTGCTAGGCTTCGGTTACACTCCATCCCCTCTCCATACGCAACGTAATTCGTGGAAGGCCCACTTGAAAAATGAAGCAAGTGCTGGAAAGGATCATTCTACTGCTTTGATGGTCAAAGCTCTTGGAGACGGTGGGTGGAGGCTTCGAGAAAGTCGAGGGACGCTTCGGTTCACGAGGTTCTCTATGCGGTAAAACTTTTCCGTGGTCACGATATCAAAACCGGGAACAGACCCCAAAACA